AAGCAAAATGTTCCCTAACCTTTAGAAGCACCCCGTATGCCCATACCTGTTGGAGCAAGAAAGACAAATTAAATTTCGAAAGATTCTAGGCACGGTGCTACTGGGGAAAAATCAGGCATGGTATAATAATGCAACGAATGTTCATTCCTGCATGGCAATGGAGAAGTCGTAGACCGTGTAAGTAATCTCCTTCTCCTTCCTCTTCTTCGCCTTTTGAAATTTTTTTGCCGAAGTACCCCGAAATTCGTGCAATAGATGCCTATATCCGACCCTACCCCAAGGGTAGCCAAAAAATATGTCCAGGTCGTTCACGATTGATAGTGTAGGCAAATGGATACCGACATTATTATCCGGAGCATTGAAAACTCCCTCGAGAATTAGAACCAGCCCTAACTTGTAGCGATCAGCTCGGGGCGTCGAAGATCGGGCCATAGCAAATTGGAGTTGAGCCAAAGAAATCTTGTCATTGGATTTGAAGCACCTCTCTTTCAACCTCCTCCTCTCTAACAATCGTTCGTATTCAGCACCCTCTAGGAATGCATCGCATCTTAACCCCGTCACAAGCGCGTACTCCTGTAGACCGAATCTCGTGAGGTGCCCTTGCACGCTAAACCATAGCTCGTAAAGCTTATCTATGTGGACGGTTCTGAACACTAGCTGCTAGATGAGTTGGCAGAGAATTGAATATCCAGAACCTTGGCCAGATACCGGAGGAAGGAGTTGCGGAAGTCCTCCCATTGTTGCTTGTCGAAATGGTCTATCACAGTCTTCATCAGCTTCAGGTTGCTACGTTGCGAAATGTGGGTCAGCAACCTTGCATCTTCCGGAATACGGAATTCGAACTCCATTTTGCCTGCAAGGTAAATTGGAAAAAAACGTGGTTACATGATGAACATAAACAATTGTAACGTATATAGCAAATTAATGAAGATTTAATAAAGTGAAATAAACAATTGTAACGTATATAGCAAATTAATGAAGCGAAATCATGCGCTATAACAGTGAACTGTCTAGAAAAATTAAAGTCAATCGTTGGTACCGAAAGATGATCTGTCAAGACCTATGGATACCGACGGTTGGAGGGTTAACTGTCGAGAAAAACTGAGGTGAAACCTCGGGTACGACAGTTTGCTGGGAGTTGGTCTGCTTGCTAACCTTACATGTGGCAACGAATGAAATTCCATTTAGTTCAAGACGAATGCAAATTACCGTGAACTAAATGGAAGGAAAAAAGAACTAAAAAATAGAAAACTAAGCGGGAGGGAGAGAGAGAATCTTATAGCGACGGTACTAGGGGATGGTGACGGGCATGCTATTGCTTTGATATCGAACGGATAAATATCCTCAGCAATTAAACTGGACTACCTGTACATAAGAACACAATAGTTGTGGCAATTGTGCTATTGAACGAAACAACGAATTGAACATGGATAATTTATGGAAAAAATAAGATGAACTAAAAAGTAATTTACAATTTTTCCCTATGAAATCAATATCATTAATAATCCAGCTAAACAATGGCCTCTCAACAGATGTGTACGTTTTATAAACTTCTTCCCAAGTATTTTTCAAATTGTACAACAATTGCCTGAAATATAATTTTTTCTTATAGGTAATTGTCTGAAGTTTAATATAATTCTACAAGTTTGTATAGTATAATATAATTCAACAAGTTCCACATTAAGATACAATTCTAAATGTTATCTATAAAATGCATCCTACGAAAAGTGGTTTTAATATATTTCTTTTCACAAGTAAAATTATAGTCGAATGCATTGTGCATCTCAACATACTCAGGACTAGATGTCTAACAAAAATTAAAAAACAAAAAGGTTGTTTCCATAAATTATGAAGAAATGCGCCACAAGTTACATGACATTTACTAGAATTTCAAGAATTTTTAAGGTAAATACTTCCATCAATAATTCCCTCACTTGAATTGCACAAAGAACTTGTGTTATGCACACAAACAAAATAACATTCCTTGAAAATTAAGAGACTTCCATTTTAATTATTTCTCATTTCATTTGCCCAAAACACTCACGTAATCTGAGTTTTAGATGTTCACCCAGATCAAACAATTGATAAAATTTGGATGTAATATGATGCCTTTGAAGATTAATTAAATATAAATAAATAAATGTGACTTAATACTTTAATTTTTAAATAAAATAATTACTAATATTCCCAACTAAGAATAACAAAATATATTTATATCTAATGCTTAAATTTTAATCAGCATTGTTGTATATATATTTTACAAAAAGGATCGTATTTAAAGCTAAAACTTTATTCGAGTGGTGACCTAATGCCTACATTTACTAGAATTTCAAGAATTTTTAAGGTAAATACTTCCATCAATAATTCCCTCACTTGAATTGCACAAAGAACTTGTGTTATGCACACAAACAAAATAACATTCCTTGAAAATTAAGAGACTTCCATTTTAATTATTTCTCATTTCATTTGCCCAAAACACTCACGTAATCTGAGTTTTAGATGTTCACCCAGATCAAACAATTGATAAAATTTGGATGTAATATGATGCCTTTGAAGATTAATTAAATATAAATAAATAAATGTGACTTAATACTTTAATTTTTAAATAAAATAATTACTAATATTCCCAACTAAGAATAACAAAATATATTTATATCTAATGCTTAAATTTTAATCAGCATTGTTGTATATATATTTTACAAAAAGGATCGTATTTAAAGCTAAAACTTTATTCGAGTGGTGACCTAATGCCTAAACCAAGATATAAAAATGTTTTTAAAATTTAAGCTAAAGTAATACTATTTAAGTCATACATCCGCATGTCCAAAATATCAACTTCTTGGATTTATACATGGATCGGTATAAAAATCCTTTATTTCAATAGGTGTCGGTCGGTAGGTAGCTTCAAACGTAATTTCATGATCATAAAATTATTTACGAAACTCCATAATGCGATTACAATTTAGAATGTTACAAATATAATAATAATAATAATAATAATAATAATAATAATAATAATAATAATAATAATAATAATAATAATTACACACCTATAAAATGCAAAAACTAAACTTAAGGTTTAAAACTAAATTTCATATGTAGTCTTTATGTCTGCAATGATTTAGGGCTGTGTTCCATTTTTGCTATCTTTTACTATTTCCTTCCATAAAATCTTGAATAGTCACTAAACAAACGGGAGATAATTATGGGTTGGCAAAAAAAAAAAAATTTTTTTAATTAAATCATAAAACAAAAATTCTAAACCGATTTATACAACATGGAACTCACGAAAACCCTTTTTGCAACTTGAGAATAGCTGAGTTCATTTTCCATGAGTCAACAGCATTGATTCTAATACAGTTAAAAAATTTACACGGGAGCGACAAAATGGAAAGAAAACACCGAACCTAAAGATATCGTAGAGGACCTTTGACGCCGAAAGTTCTGCCGGTGGTTTTCGACGGTGGGGCGACGGTCGATTGCATCAAAACTTCCAATTTCGTCGACGGTCGGGCGGTGGTTGCTTTCAGTGAGAGAGACGAGTGAGATTGGGGATTTTGTGTTTGTCAATTTGTCTTCCTTTCCTTTCTTTTCATTTCATTTTTTTTTTTTTTTTTTTTTTTGGGTTTGGTTTCCAGCATTAAGGGTGTGTTTGATTACATTTATTTTTCATGAAAAATATCAGTTTTCCACCCCAATTCCTACTTTGAGTGTTTGATTGCTATATTTTTCCATGAAAAAATATTTTCCAACTTTTGAAAATATGCCTAATTTTCCTTGTTTTTAAAGAAAATATTTTTCTTGGGTAGAGGTGGTTTTTATTTTCTACAAAAGATGAAAAATATTTTCTTTTTTACGTGAGATTTTCTGTGCCAATCAAACATACTCTAATTGTCTTTTCACCTGACAATTAAATAGTTTTGGTACAAGGACGCAAAAGGTATTCTAATGATTCACGGGGGTAAAATTGTCCTAAATTGATATTTTTGATAGACAATTTAAAATGTGACATTTTTAATAATTCATACCCAAATTTTGACACCCAATGAAATATCCTCTAAAAATAATTGTAATATTTATTATTTTGAGCAATATATATATTTTTGAAAATTTGAAGAATATACATAAAGTTCAAAGAATGCATTATTTTATATATTTATCAGTGTATAATATTAAAAATCGAAAAATGCAAAATTATGCATATGCTTATAATGCTTAGTCCTCGACCGAAATGCACTGTTACACATTATGCAATTTGTCTCGATTTTTTTATTTTATTATAATTTTTTATTTGTAAAATATTTTTCCAATTTAAATACGATTTAAATTGAAAGATATTAAAATCAATCAATCAATTAATTAAATGGAATTGTTTAGGGTATCTTGACACTCTGTTCCTAAAAAATCCTCAATGAAATAGGCATGGTATTGGGGTGCTTTGGTCATATCTAGCCTACGAATGGCTCACAGGCTGAGTCGCTCGTGAAACGATCTATTGATGACTCAAATTTACTTTAGGACAAGTCATAGATCAAAATGAGCTTACTTTTTTAAAGAATTGGCTCATTATTTATTTATTTATTTATTTAATTATTAGAAAAATAAACCTACTCATGAGTATGTGGATAACTCGTTAGTCCTTTGTTTGGGCTCCATTTTATAAAAAAATATATCCTTTTAAAATTTATTTTTAATCACATTTTTTCATAAAATAATTTTATACATAAATTCAAAATTTTTTCTTATTTTTTAGTCACACGCTTTTTAAAAATTATTATTTTAAAATATATATTTTTAAAAATCTCGTGTAGCCCAGGAGATGGTGGAGAAGCTTCAAAATACCGTTGCCAGTTTATCGTAGGAACCAAAGAACATGATCGAATAATCATGCATTAATTTTATAATTTCGAATAGGGTCCACAAAATGCAAAAAATTCAAAAGAAAAGGAACCTCAGCTGCAAACAAAAGCTTCTACTTTTTCTTGAAAATGAAATAAAATTCATGGAATCTCCAAATCACCATGGCTATGGCGGATTGAGGCTCTGCACAGAGGACAATTAGAACGAGTTCCTAGCCACTTGTCCACACACTCCAAGTGAAAACCATGGTGGCATATAGGCAAAACCCTCACCTTTTCTCCTTCTTGAAATATACTTAAACAAATTGCACACTCCGAATCTGGGTTTGAATTCTTGCCATTGGCACTTGATCCATATGAAAATATTGGGAGGCTGCTTATGGTAGCTGCATCGAGCCCTGCCGGAGACCTAGATCGAGCCAGTGATCCATCAGGGTGGGTGGCGGTGCTGCCACGGCGGCGATGGGTGCACACGTAGAGAAAGTATACAAACAAAAAAGTGATTAAAAATATACAGAACAAGAACAAGGCACCAAGAAGTGGGCTTTTGCCATCAATCTTGTCCTTGACGTATGTGAAATGTATCGGTTCAAAATTCTGTGTAGCCATATCATATGTATCTATGGAGAGAACAAATTTTCTGTGGTGATTATTGAAGATTGGAGCTCGGAGTTTTTGACAAACATGAGTTGCTTTATTTGTAAAGGAAATTGTGGATGCTTATCAAAATAACTTTTCTGCTTATTTTAGGAAAGGAAAGTTTTATTCAGTATATCTTTTATCGTTCTTCAACGAATTGAGTTTTGACTTTAGCCTGCTATAGTGACGTTTCTGGCCTTTTTTGTGAACCTTTAGCCCTATACCGTTGAAGCATTGTCCATATTGAACAAGCTTTCCGTGCTAGGAATTTTCTGGAATTAGAAATGTGAACGGGCATTTGGAAAATGAAGTCGTTGTTTAGACTTCAATTCTGTTAT